TTTAATAACGAACTATGGTTTTATATGAAACCTTACGATGTACTAGCCACGTATAAAGGTTTCGTATTTTTTGTTACGAAACCTTTTTTGCTGTACGGAACTTGAAAAAGGTTTCGTAGGAGATGGTTTCGACCGTGTATCCTCGGTCAGATCGTTTTAAGGTTTCGTAGATTTTAAGAATCCTTTTTTAAGCGTTTGGACGCATTTGGAAGTTTTTGGACACCTACGAAACCTTTTTGGAGAGTTCAGGAAAATACCTATTTTTTTAGTGTATCCATGTCGTGAAAATCGCGACGATTTTCGCGACATGGATATCTTGTTCATTGTTCTCAGGCAAGCACTTTGATAAATCCACTGTAATCGAATATTTTGAAAGAATCTGCCTAGTTCTCTTAATTCTGCTCGCTTGGTATCAATTCATCTCATTCCATCAAAGCAGAGCAACAAAAAAAGGAATTACTTTGCTTTGTAATACATTCTTCGATGATTTCGATCAATTGGGAACAATCGGGTCGATCGTTGGGATCATTAGCCCAACACTTCTTGATCAGCATTGAAAAGTTCGAGGGTGTGATCTTGGGTATCTCCAATCGATCACCAGAAAGTACAAATTCACGAATATTGCCACTTTGGTGTCCATCATAAGGTATTTCATTAGCAGCTAATTCCCAATACACGATTCCTAAACTATAAACATCGCTCTTATCTGTGTGCTTTTTCATACGCAATATTTCAGGAGCAGTCCATTGCAATGTGCAGACTAATGTAGGATTTGATGTTGTTTGACGGGTCGTTTCATTTCGTGTTCTGGCCATACCAAAATCACACGCTTTGACAGTATATCCTTTATAGGCTCTTTCTATCAAGAAGTTCAACGATTTAATGTCACGATGTAAGACAGGTTCTGACAATTGATGTAGGTAATTGATTCCGCTGGCTGCTTGAAAAGCAATCGACAACCTTTCAGACCATGATAATTCAAGGTTATCTTCGTGCAATATCTTGTACAATGATCCTAATGACATGTGTTCCATAACTAATGCATACTTTCCTGTTTCCGTGCATGCACCATAAAAACTGACGATGTAAGGGCAACGAATGTTGTGCATTAAGGAAAGTTCTGCGAAAAACTCTTTTTCGGCTCTACCAGTCAAATGAGTCAGGTGCAATTTCTTGACAGCAACTGTATAACGTCTACTTCTCCATGTAGCTCTGTGTACTGTTCCAAAGGCTCCGGTACCAATTTCCTCATGCAGTATAATATCGTTGTCGGCTATTTGAATAAATTCGTTTGATTTATCTAAATGTCAAAACATACACAAGAAACTACCTATATCAATAACTGAGGTATAGTGAACAAAAATGTTCTATTTATGGTATAATATTGTTTGAAAATACAGCAGTTCGGACATGATTCACATGTTGAACATTTTTTTTTAAATCGTAGAAAAATTCAAAACTCTTATCTTTCAGTGCCTTTTTAGCTAAAAAAATGGCTTTTGTAACAATGCATCATTCTGTAGATAATGTGTGCACTTTTGAGATTTGATCACAGCATTCTAACATCGTAGGATGCTCGGTGTGCGGTCGGAAAGCTCGCACACATTTATTTTTTTTGTATAATAATGAGAAAAACCATAAGTGTTCACTCAACTGATTATTCTAAACGATTTCGACATGAAATGACAGTAAAGATAATCCTCTTTTCGTTCTACTTGAAAACATAACTTTTATGACTGTGCGTAGGCATGTACCAAGCTTTTTTTGCGTTATTTTCGAGTTTTTTCGTATTAAAGCTTAAGCTGCGAAATAAAAAGGTGAATCATGTAATTTAATCTACCGAAAGATAGAAAATTTTACTCTATCAGATGAGACATACCTCATCTCTGTGCAGCAATTCTTTTGGTTTTTATGAGAACTTTACAAACCGAGCTTGACCGAGCCTAGGCTCGGTGGAGACATTTTTTTGCACTGCAAATAAAAATTAAAATAACTACAACACAGAACTTTGGAAAATCTCATTTTGTAGAGAAATGTTTTGTCTATATTTTGATAGGCTAGGCCACATGATTCAGCCTTTCATTTCAGAGCTCAAGGTTGCAATATAAAAGTGTTGGAAAATAACGAAAAAAAGCTCGGTACATGCCTAATTGTGAGTTTTTCATTGTTGGTGTATCTGCGAAATGTTCTCTAATAAGTGCCTAGCAAAAACAACCTTACACCTACTCATTAATTGAATCCCTGTCTATTTATAACGATGGTGATATGCCGATGATCAATTAAATTCTCAATATGTACAGGATATCGTATTTCACACTATTCTGTGCATATCAAAACCAACTTTTCGCTGGAAAAAAAGCCAAATTGTTTCTCTTATTCTGTTATACTAAGACGAATCAAGTTGAATTTTTCCATACATGTTGGAGACTATTTGAGGTGTCTATTTTTTGTTTTAAAATTATTTCTCTGCTGAGTTTTGGCAAGAATTAGAAAAATGGCCTAGTCAAATTCAATCGTTTTGTATAATGTCCTTCGTATTTTTGGCTTTTCAGTTATTCCAAAAGCAGGAAAGCCAAAAACATATACTCCTTATATAGTATCTACGATTTGTAAAAGCAAATGTCAATTCAATCAGACGTATTAGGCCTGAGAAACTAGAAATGAAAAGTAGAGTTATTCTTTGATATCTGTGATCCTAAAATCTCTAAGAAGGAAACATAATAGAAATATGAACTCTGAGGAGCTTTTACTCTACTATCTGATATATAATCCCCTTCTTTCAAATCACTTCATTGGGCTATTTTAGAAAAGCCTGGAAAAGGAGAGAATCCCCTTTAGGGCATTCCCTCCCCTGTTTCTCTCCGGATTATCCTGAGAACAGTTTTATAAAAAAACTTTGAAACTTTCAGCGTAAATAGGTCTCCGGTAGTGAATGAAAATTTGTGCACGACTCAACTTTATATTGTGTTTATTTATATTTTGTGACAAGTGATGTGGAAATAAATGTCAAAATACATAGAAAAAGACGTGAACTCTTTCTTTAGGTTCGTCCTACAGATTATGACAGACAAAATATGTTAGTATATCTGGTCGCCAAGGATAATATGATTGATGCGAATCTGGCTTTAGATCACAATTGCACTAGATGCATCGTGTTTCACATTTTTATCTCCGCAAATAATACGCTCAAATCTTTTTATTGTAGCTTCTTTGTAAAATTGGGTTCAAACACATCTAACCGATATTTATTGAAAGTACTCAAATACCCACTAAAAACACTACCTAGTTTTCATCAGTTAAAGCTCAGCTCTGTCGAATACATTGTGTCGGAGAAACTGACGATTCCACTCATTTTTGGTGAAAAATTGTTTTCGATAGAACCTCGAAACGACGAGGAATGTGATTTTTCTTGATGTATATCAAGACTTCGTTTTCAAAAATATGATCAAATGTTGGCCACGCCGAGCGCTTTAAAGAGTATATCCTTGAAGTCGAAAGCATACTTCAAGCACTGAAAATGTCTGTTAGGAACAGAACTCTACACTATTGAATGACTTCAGCTTGATTTTGTTGTTTGTGAAAGGGTCTGCAAACTCTGAATTTATTTCTATTATGAAGAAAAATGAAAAATTCTCATTTATACATCGTTTCGACAGAGAGGACTTCAAGATTCTTTTAGCAATGCAGGACAGAAATCGAAAAAGATCGGCATTTTGAGATTAGGAAATGAAGGTACATTTAGTGCAAATTTTCCAGTTACGATTTCATGTTTAATTTCCTGCTGAATTTATAGCTAAAGGATCCATGAGACCAAGCTACTAGTAGTGTGATATTGGTCTCACTAAATGATCCTTCTTGATGAATTAGAACAAAATGATGTAAAGGATGTGGGCGGGAATGACCATTTTTTGTCCCAAACCTTTTTTAACTTTCAATACTCTGAAATGTATCAAGGAGTTATTGGAAGTATTTCATGCTACTTAGTCTTGCATCTTTTCTT